AACCCCTTTTCCCAGGTATACCGCTCCCCCTCTAATCCGGCCTGGTCTGTGCTCACCCTATCTCGGTACACTTGTAACGTGGGGTCTATCTTAACCTCCGCCTCAAATTTAGTCGGGGTATCCCAGGTCATACGTGTCGTGGGAGGGTCACTGTCTCTTAACTGAGCCTCAGAGTGCGCTGGTGGAGCCGTGGTGCGAGCCTGCTGTCTTGTGGTTACTGGATGGGCTTCTTGGTATGGAGCCTGGGGTATAAAAGCAGAAGTCATGCCATGTGGCCCCACTGCCGCCTGCACGTATGGCATTGGATATTGGCCCTGCCATTATATCGGGATGGTGGTGGTTGACCCCCCGGGGTTGGTCGAAATGGGGTTGCCGTAGAGGCTGTAGGGGTAGCTGTAAGTGGTAGAGCGGTGGGCCGAGGGTAACCTCTGTTCAGGTGCCTGTGATGTCTCCTCGCATCGTAATGTTGGTCAGCTAGTCGTGCCGCTTCGGTTAGGGTGAGGGGTTTTCGGTCTCTCACCCATTCTTGTGCCTCTGGAGACAAGCCATTGAAGAATTGTTCCAGCAGCATCAATTGCCGTAACTCCTCCATAGTGGTTGCTTGGCTCGCTTGTATCCACCCCTGGGAGGCTTGGCCCAGCTTGTGGGCCCACTCGGCGGGAGAGTCTCTCGGGTTTGCGCAATCCTCTAATCTTGCGCTGGTATGCCTCTGGGGTAATGGCATATCGTTCTAATATGGCCCGTTTTACCCTGGCATAATCCCTGGGTACCACCCGATAGGCTTCTGCTGCCCGACCTGACAGTTTGCCTGCTAGTAACGGTACCCATACTGCCTGCTCTAAATCATGTAAATCACATAGCCTCTCAAAATCTTGCAGATACCCATCAATCTCGTCTTTCTCTTTGCAAAACATCTTAAAAGCATGGTATGGGATCTTAGGCTTTACCTGGTTGTAGACTGAGGCAGTAATGGATTCTGCTCTGGATGGTGCCTCATCACATACTCCTGCACATCCGCCATCAGCACTGTCAATATTTCCAGGGGTACTGGCTGAGGTAGAAATTCCATCCTGGTTTTCATTTCCTTTTGGTAGAGGGTTTCTTCCATGGCTGGTGGGGGCGTAACGCTGCGGGCTCTGTCTCCCTCCATTAATTTGGCAATCAGCACAGCTTTTGGCTTATTGCTGGCTATCTTCCCCCTGGCTTCCAGCATTTCCTTTAACGTCTGCCTTTTTTTTTTTTAATTCTTTATTTTATTTGTGCATAGCTTGAACAATCATGTTTGTACCGCCACAATAGCAGGTGCAAGCAGGTTTGAAAACATACATTAACATAGGTATGGCATTGTAATACATAGCACAGTTTTTTTTTTATATATTCAAGATAGGAGACATGTTAAAGGTTAAACCATGGATCGTAGTTACACAAAAGAAATTTGCTTGTCTCAGAGTTTAGTAATGTGTTATACTGATTTATCTCACAGCCTAGGGACTAACATGCTAGCTGAAAACTACTAAGGCTTGCTTGGTACATATGGTAACATCGCTGCTCTGTCGAAACTTAGAATTGGCATGCAGTGTCACGAGCTACCAGAATGTATACATGCAGTATAATCCTATTTGCATTTTAATCTATGAATGACACACTCTTTTGCAGGCTAGTCTCGCTTAGCTGTTAGGTTACTTATATTGGATCTGCGCTTCACTGCCTTATAGCAGGCTTGAAAGATGAAACAAAGGCAAAAACTTGACAGGTGTATAGTCGCCATTTTGGGCAGTCGGAATCCAGGACAACCACCCCATAACCCAACCCAATAACGCACATACTAGAGGATATGGGGAAATATGTCCACAGCTTTATTTAGCAAATAATAATAATAACAATAATAATCATAATAATAACTTAACAAGTAAACATGGGTCATTGCCCCCCATACTCCGCCCTCGCATCCTATTCCTTCCATTAACATATAAAGGGCAATGACCCCCATATAAATAAACATATATATATAACATACATCAACATTATTCCAATCGATGTAAAGTGCCAACCATCCATTAACCACGGCAGGGGTATACCCGGATACCCCTACCCCACCAGGTTCTGAGCCACCGACAGGACTCGAAACCTATCAACCACCAATGACCACCACTTGTTTGTCTTCCATTACGTTCATCCTGGGGAGCCTATTTCCTCTCCTTCAGCTCCCCGTCCCGCCGCTGTGAAAAAACGGGACAAAACCACACATAACAAAACAGGGAGGGTGGGTGGGACAAACTTAACCAGGTAGGAAGTTAAAATGAATTAACTAAAATGGCTGCCCATTTAAATAACCAAACCCACTTACCCATAACTCCACTCCCTTGCTTACTTCCTCCTAGGCCCGCCTCCTAACCCCTGTCAAGGCCTTTTTCCGCTTAGCTGCGCTTGGCTACATGGGGCTACATGACAGGTGTATAGTCGCCATTTTGGGCAGTCGGAATCCAGGACAACCACCCCATAACCCAACCCAATAACGCACATACTAGAGGATATGGGGAAATATGTCCACAGCTTTATTTAGCAAACAATAATAATAACATAATAATCATAATAATAACTTAACAAGTAAACATGGGTCATTGCCCCCCATACTCCGCCCTCGCATCCTATTCCTTCCATTAACATATAAAGGGCAATGACCCCCATATAAATAAACATATATATATAACATACATCAACATTATTCCAATCGATGTAAAGTGCCAACCATCCATTAACCACGGCAGGGGTATACCCGGATACCCCTACCCCACCAGGTTCTGAGCCACCGACAGGACTCGAAACCTATCAACCACCAATGACCACCACTTGTTTGTCTTCCATTACGTTCATCCTGGGGAGCCTATTTCCTCTCCTTCAGCTCCCCGTCCCGCCATAAGCTCAGACCTTGACCCCTTAAGCCGTCTGAGCTCCGCCACCCCGAAGAAACAGCGCCCGCTGCATACCAACCTGCCAACCCAAGTTGAGCAGATCCCAACCCACCTCCGAAAGGTGAACCCCGTCCGAGCGGTAGTACCCCGGCAACCCCTCCTCCAACTCGCTGTGCCGTACCACCACACCTCCCATCTTCCTAACGAAGCTCGCCATTAAGCTGTTCACCTTTTTCCTGCAGTGATCAATCGCCACCGGATCCCGCGCGTGCCGCCATCGACGCCTTGGGACAATCTCCGACCACACTAACATAACCCCCGGAAGCAGGTCCCTCAATTTGTTGATGTCCTGCTTCATCCACTTTACCAACCGACGTTGTGGCGTGAGGCCCAAGTCGTTACCCCCAGCATGAAGGACCACCATGTCCGGTGTCCTCCCGCCCACCACCATCCTAAACATTGCCCCACAAACCTCCCCCCAGCAAAATCCCCTGTACCCAAACCATCGGACTGTCAACTGGTCCTTCGGAAAGCCCAGCTGCTGGCCCTGCATTCGAGCTGCGGCCCTCCTCTCGGCCCAGAAGACAAAAGAATGTCCCACAATCCAAGCAACCCGTCCTGGGGAGAAGAAGAAAACAAGCATGAGGGAAAGGCAAAAGAGGACTCCTCCGTCCATGTCCGCCCCCGCACCATATCTATACATACACATATATAAACATATACCTGCCTTTTCCCTTTTTTTTTTTTTATTCCAATAAGCCCAACCGCACATATGAGCGGAACCGCACCGACTCCCATCTCCCTATGCGCTTCACGACCTCATCTCCTAATCCCAACCGTGCGGCCTCCGTGGCCGCCCCAATGCGAAAGGAGTGAGTACCAAAACGTCCGGCCGGAAGCCCCAACTTACCTAGCCCGGCCCGAAAAACCTTTGTAAACTGAAACCGGGACAGGGAAGAACCATCCGCATGTACCAAGAAGGAACCCCCCACCGCCGGCCTCCGAGCCATGTACTCCGCCACTGCAGCCACCGGGCACAATGCTGCGCCCGGCAGAGCCCATAGCGTAACGTCCCTACCCACGCCACGGACGTCCGTCTTAGAACTACCCAGATGCACAACCACCTTACCCTCCAAAACACGAACCCCTGAGGCCTGCAGACCCCCGGGCACCACCCTACTGGCACTCACCAGCTCCCCCACGCGGAACGCCCCGAAAAATGCCAAGAGAAAAGCCGCTCTGAACAGAGAGACCTCAAACCCGTTGAAACAAATTTCCGGCAACCGACCCACCAGATCCCCCAATACCCGTACCGACACCGGGCGCCTAGAGTCACAGGTCCTGCGGCCCTTTCGATAACCCTTCAGCGCCTGCCGTACTAGGAAGGTCTTAGTCAGATCCTCCGACCCGCGCCATCGGAACCAGAACGCCATTGCCGCCATGGACCTGTCGACCACTGCCGGGGACGCCCCCTTTGCCAGCAATTGGCAGGTGTACCATAGAAAAGCGTCCCGCAGCGCATCCCCACGTAAGCCATGCTCCAACCCGTCTAATGATCGTTCCCAAGAGTCCCAGACCTTACTGTAGGAGGCCCATGTGGCCGGTGCCAGTGAAGCCTTCACAAGTCCCCCAAGCAGGACGCTCCCAGCTGCCATATCTCGTCCGGGCAAGCCTCCCCTTCCTTCAATGCTCCTGGCGCCATCGACCAAAATCGGGACCACTGAAAACGAGACAGAGCGTCAGCCACCTCATTCAGGTACCCAGGGACATGACGCGCGCGAAACACAACATTCCGTGACATACACATCAACACAAAGCGCCGCAGCAACCTAACCACCGGCTTAGAGGCAGCCGATTGATTATTCACCGCATGCACCACCGCCATGTTGTCCGAGAAAAAGACCACTTTCTGGTCCCGGAGCCCCTCGCCCCATAGTGCCATTGCAACGACCAACGGGAATAATTCCAGAAAAGCCAGGTTGCGCATGACTGGGCTAGACCCCCATGCCTCCGGCCACCGCTCCGTGCACCATCTCCCGCCAAAGTAGGCCCCGAAGCCCACACTACCCGAAGCATCCGTGAAGAGCTCCAACTCCGCCGCCGACTTACCCGCCCGCCTGAAAAACACCGTCCCGTTGAAATCCTGCAGGAAGGCATCCCACACGCCCAAATCAGCCCTCATGGTTGCTGACACCCGTATGAAATGATGCGGGGATCGAACTCCTGCCGTAGCAGCCGCCAGGCTGCGGCTGAAAACCCTCCCCATAGGAATTACACGGCATGCAAAGTTCAGCATCCCTATTAGCGACTGCAGTTGCCGCAGCGTAACTTTGCGCGCAACGGTCACCGCAGCTACCGCCCCCTTGAGCCCCTCCAACTTGTCCCGAGGCAGTCGGCATTCACCCAAGATAGAATCTATTTCTAACCCCAAGAAACTAAGGCACGTCGTCGGGCCCTCCGTCTTATCCGCTGCCAGCGGCACCCCAAAGTGGCCCGCCACCCATTCCACGGTCCTAAGCAGTTGCTGGCATGCCGAGGAGGCAGCCGGCCCCACGCAAAAGAAATCGTCCAGGTAGTGCACCACCGAACGGTTCCCCGCCTCGACCCGCACCACCCATTCGAGAAAAGTACTAAATTTCTCGAAATAGGAGCATGAAATAGAACAGCCCATAGGGAGGCACAAGTCCACGAAATATTTTCCCTCGAAAAAACATCCCAACAGGTGGTGGCAGTCCGGGTGGACTGGCAGCAGCCGAAACGCCGCCTCAATATCCACTTTTGCCATAAGTGCCCCATGCCCGGCCCGTTTAACCAGCTCGACCGCCCGGTCGAATGATGCATACGAGACCGAGCATAGGTCCTTATCAATACCGTCATTCACCGACTCCCCTTTTGGGTAGGAGAGGTGGTGAATGAGCCGGAATTTCCCCGGCTCCTTCTTTGGCACCACCCCAAGAGGGGAAACCCGTAGGTCCTCCAATGGGGGCACCGCAAACGGGCCCGCCATCCGCCCCAGCGCAACCTCCTTGTCTAGTTTCTCCCGTACCACCCCCGGGAAATCCGCCACCGACTTCAGGTTGCGCAACCCCCCCGAAACCCCCCGCTCCCGGAAGGGAATAAAGAAACCCCGCCCGAAGCCTTCCCTAAGTACCGAGGCATCAGTCCTGTTACCGTAGCGGCTTAGCCACGGCTCCATCGCGTCTAGCCTCACCGGCGTGAAGCCCCGGGGCAGGGGAAGCATTCCCTCCGGCCCCGGCAGCCGCTCCGGCTGTTCCCGCCTTCCCTTTTTTTGAAACAGCGATTGAGCCCATGAGCACCCCCGCAACCGGAGCACTCATGCTTAAATCGACACGCGTTTCCCCATTTGCACTGGCCCTCATTGTAGAGCCAGCAGAAGCCCTTTTGCAAAGCGGCCGACGAGGCGGACTGCCCCTTCGCGCCGGCCGAGTTTGGAAAGGGCTGCGCCTTCTGGGCCATCATTAGCTTCATCCAGAGGGGCAGATCCATCTGATCCCACCTCATCCCCGGGTTAGCCGCCAGTCGCTGCCTGAACTGTTCATCGTAGCGCCACCATGCCAGCCCCCCATAGGTGCGATATGCTTCCCAAATGCCGTCCAGGTAGCAGAACAGGGACGAGCATAATCCCGCGATTTTTCCCCCAGCACGCTGGCTAGCACGCAAAACGCCCGTAACCAGTTGCCAAAGGATTTCGGAATCTTGCGATACCGCTTCCTCTTCTCCTCCTCCTCCTTCTTTTCATCCTTTTTATCCTCCTCCTTGAGGTCAATAAAGTCCTCCAAGGGGAGCAGGGAGAAGATCTCGCAGAACTCACCTTTCCAGAGCTTCTCTTTCACGTCCTGTTTCAGATGAACCCCCAGGGGGCCCGCAAACGAGACGTATGCGTGCTGCCTCGCTGCATCCGGAATACCCCCGGCCAGTTCCGCCTTGTCACCCCCGGCCGCCATCGCCTCGGGCGCCACCCCCACGTCCCCGCCCGAACTAAGCCCCACGGAAACCCCACTAGGACCAGGGACCTCCGTCCCCGGGGCCCAAACCCGACCAACGCCACCCCCCGTGTCACCCCCCGCCCCCAGCGAGTGGAGCAGTGCTTGCAGTGTGCTAACCAAGGAACTGGAGTGTAGTGACCCACAAGACTCACCGGCCAAGCCCCCTGCAACTGACGCGGCAGGGGCTGCGTCGTCGACTGCCCGATGTCCAGGGAGAGCGACTCCCGCCGATGCCTCGCCAAACGGGGAGCCAAACCGGTGCCTTGCCCGTGCCGATATGGAACAGCTCCGTGACCTGGAAAGAGGAGAAGAAGTCCTGGGTAGGGTGCACTGAGTATTCGCATCCCCCCCGTCCCGAACCTGGGAGCGCCTGCCCATTGCCAAAGCCTCCCGCTGTGCCCCCTGCACGCGCCGCGCGCGGGAGCCCCTAGGGCTACGGCTCCTCCTGTCTTCCCCGGGCATCCGTCCCCGCCGACCACCCCTGGGGACGCTAGACCCGCTCTCTCCCGAGCTCCCTGACCTGGAGCGGCGCTGCCGGGACCTCCCCCTCCCCCCCCCCCTCCCCCGTGGCTCTACTTCCCGAACCGGAGAGGGACTACCACTACAGGACCCTGAACCGGACCCCCCCCCCCTACTACCCTGCACCCCCAAACGCTCACCCCTCCGGCTAGAGCCCGACCCCCCACCTGAACTGGCTCCCAGACTAAGGGGACCTAGACCCCCCTCAACCAGACTGGCCCCCCCAACCCCTAAACCAGGCCTACCCGACCCTACCCGCACCGGCCCAGCCCCAGAGCCCAAGGAGGCCCCCTTTCCCCTACTGTGGGAGCCCAGCAGTCCCTCCTCACCCACAGCCCCCCCACCCCTACCACTACTCCCCCCACCTATGACCCCTATGCCCTCCCCATCCACCACCCGCGGTCCCTGGGAGGCCTTCCCACCCCCCACTTGGGCCCTCCGCCCTCCGCCCCCTGACAGGACCCCCCCAGCACTTTTCCCGCCAAGGGGGCCCCGGCCGGAGCCCCCTGCACTTGCCTTTGGGGCCGGGAACCGGCCACGTGTCCTCCCGGTCCCGGCCCCGCCGATCTCCGCCTCCGACGGGGCGTGCGCCCTCCCGGGCCGCAGCTCCATGCTGCCCGCTCCTCCAGGGGACCGCCCGGCCACGTCCGACCCGGCAGCCGCGACGGCCCCGTCCCGACCGTCCCCCCGGCGCCGGGCACTGGTCCTAGGCTCCGGCCGCTCGCGGGGAGGCGGGGCCTCTACCACGCGGCTGCCGGGCCTGCTGCCGCCCGCACCGGAGCCTCCCGGACCACCAGGGATGTCTTCACCGGGTCCCACACCCGGGCTTAGCCGCTCCGGAGGCCTCCTGGCCCGAACAGGCCGTCGTCCGCCGCCGTCCTGGCCCTCCGCCGCCGCCAGGGCCGGGCCTAACTGGGCCTTCAGCCAGTCAGCCCCCTGGTGCCTCGCCGCCGACCGGATCCGCTCCAGCAGTCGCTCCACTTCCTCCATCGGCCCTGCAGGGAGACAAAAAGGAAAAAACCCTACCAAGCCAAATCTGTGCCCACAGGAGCGAACACAAACTTAACCAGGTAGGAAGTTAAAATGAATTAACTAAAATGGCTGCCCATTTAAATAACCAAACCCACTTACCCATAACTCCACTCCCTTGCTTACTTCCTCCTAGGCCCGCCTCCTAACCCCTGTCAAGGCCTTTTTCCGCTTAGCTGCGCTTGGCTACATGGGGCTACATAAAGCATAGTTATGGTAAATTAGGTGAGGAAGACAACTATGCTAGGCAATATGGCACGGTTGGCGTTTGCTTAAAATATAAACAGAAAAATTATGCCACTGTGCTTAACAAATAACCCTGGGTTCCGAACAGAGACTCCTCTCCCCGAGAAGAGGGGAACTTGATTTTGATGGTTGTTGGTCAGGTGGCAGAGAGTAGGCAGCCCCAGTCCTCATGCAGAGAACAGCCAACTCCCATCCCTGGCAGGTCGCAGTTCTGTATTTTCCAGCTCTGTTCGAATAAAGATGCTTTGGTGTGGCTTGTCAGGTAGTGTCAGACGGTTGCGGGTGGGAGCTGGGTATGTGTGAGGTCTTCACACTGATCCTCGGCTTTCGTGATAGTCTGAATACCCCTGTCTCCGCTTGCCGGTCAGATGGTCTCTGCTCAAGGTCCTCGGTGTCGATTGGAGCACCCCAGGTCGGGATACAGGATAGGTAGGTTGCTTTACCGATTTCTCCCTGTGTTGCCCGTAGTGAGCGCCAAGAGCCCCAAGGAGGGGCCGCCCTCTCCACAGCGTGCCTTTCAGGCTCAGCCGCCATCTTAGGTTGCAAACAAAGTCCCCGTTCGTGGTAGTTCCCCAGGGTAGGCCGGGATAACCCCCACCGGCCCAGAGGGGGGGAAGCAGGGCCATCACCCCATTGTGTTAGGGGACCTCCGTGATGCAGCCAGGTAGGATAGCAGGGCAGCGGCCGTCCGCCCCACTCACCACCCGGATAGGTTGGCTAGGCCTCGGTCTCGAAACTCCATTTTCGCACCAAACACGGGTCCAGAAGCGGGTTGCCGATTGATCTCCGGTCCTAGCACCTCATAGTGCAGTTGCCTGCCGTGACTCAGTGCCAGAAAGTGCGTTTTGGGGCCATATTGCCCGAAAATAGCGGGAGCTCTAGTGCCATGCGTCCACTCTGCTCGGCGGTCCGGTCCGGCCCCGCCCCCCCAACGTCTGCCTTTTTAATGCAGTGTAATCCGTCTCCATTCACTTTTGTGTTCGGTTCTCTGCTGCCATTCATTTTTCCCATTCGGTAGTTTCAA